ATGCGTCCCGAAGTCACTATATAAGTATTCCGTGGGTCCCGAAATCGCTATATAAGTATTGCGTGGACCCCAAAATCGCTATATAAATATTCCGTTGGTCCCGACGTCGCTATATAAGTATTATGTGGGTCCCGAAACCGATACATCTATATATATATATGTGTGTGGATTGCGTGGACCCCGAAATCGCTATAGAAATATTCCGTTGGTCCCGAGATCGCTATACAAGTTTTCCGCGGGTCTGGAAATCGCTATATGATCATTGCGTAGACCCCGAAATCGCTATATAAATATTCCGTTGGTCCCGACGTCGCTATATAAGTATTATGTGAGTCCCGAAACCGCTATATAAGTATTGCGTAGACCCCGAAATCGCTATAGAAGTATTCCGTTGTTCCCGAAGTCGCTATAGAAGTCGCTGTGGGTCCCGCAATCGCTATATAAGTATTGCGGGGACCCCGAAATCGCTATAGAAGTATTCCGTTGGTCCCGAAGACGCTAGGGTCCCGAAACCGCTATGTAAGTATTCCGTAGACCCCGAAATCGCTATACAAATATCCCGCTGGTCCCGAAGTCGCTATATAAGTATTCCGTGGGTCCCGAAATCGCTATATAAGTATTGCGTGGACCCCGAAATCGCTATAGAAAAATTGCGTGGACCCCGACCCGCCGCCGCTCCACCCAAATTTCCGAGGCGCCTGCCCCCGGACCTCAGGATTATTTCCCTGGGACCTGCTCCTCCCCCTCCTTCCTCCGCCTCCTCCTCTTCCTGCTCCTCCTCCTCCTCCTCGCCCTCCTCCTCCTCCTCCTCCTCGTCCTCCTCGTTCACCTCATCCTCCTCGTCCTCGTCCTCGTCCTCCTCCTCCTCCTCCTCCTCCTCCAGTTCCTGTTCCTCCTCATCCTCCTCCTCCTCCTCCTCCTCCTCCTCCTCCTCCTCCTCCTCCTCCTCCGCCTCCTGCTCCTTATCCTCATCACCCTGCTCCTTGTCCTGCTCCTCCTCCTCATCCCCCTCGTCCTCCTCGTCCTCCTCGTCCTCCTCGTCCTCGGCCTCTTGGTACACTCTTGGGACGCCCCTTGGGCGCCTCTTGGGGGCCTGTTGGGGGCCTCTTGGGCCGTCTTGGGCGATCTTGGGCTCTCTTGGAGCGTTCTTGGACCGTCTTGGGGGGGGAAACCCGAAAAACATTCAAAAGACCAAGGGAAAACTGCCAAAAACATAGGGGAAAACCGAACAACATGCAAAAAAACAAGGGAAAACTGCCAAAAACGAATGGGAAACCCAAAAAAACATGCAAAATCCCAAAAGAAAACTGCCAAAAACGGGGGGGGAACCCGAAAAACATGCAAACAAATAAAAAGAAACGGCCAAAAAGGGGGAATCCGCCAAGCAACAAACATATGCAGCGGAGCGGCCATGGTCCCTCGCGTCTTAGTTCTTGTTTTATTATTAGAAAGCTTGGCCTAACAACTTCTCGTTCCGAGAAGGCGCTTCCCGTAATCCGACGAAAGACCCCTGGGAACCTGGGTTGGAGGTCGTAATCACCACCAAGTCCTGTTTCACAGAAGAAGGGCTAGACAAAGAGAGGAAGAATGAGGATGAAAGGAGGAGGCGGGGGCGACGCCATGCGAGGGGGGCGGAAAGGGGAAGGGGGGGTGCTGTGCGAAAATGCAAAGGCCAGGGTGGAGGGAGCACTACTGGGCTGCTGGGGGGACATGGAGAAAGGGCGGGGGGGGTCTTGCGGAGGGGAAGGGAGGGGGCCGTGGAAAATTATTAAAGTGGTCGGGGCGGACGGAGCACTGGGCAGCTGGGGGACAATGCGGACAGAGGCGGGGGCAGGGCCCATCCGGGGAGGGAGGGAGGGGGAGGGGTGCGACGTGAGAATAGAATGGTCGGGGCGGAGGGGGCACTGGGCTGCTGCTGGACAGTGAGGAGAGGGGGCGGGAGCGGTGTCCTGCCGGGGGCAAGGTGAGGGAAGGGTGCGGTGCGAAAACAAAGCGGTCGGGGCGGAGGGGCACTCCCCGCCACTCCCGTGCCCTTCCCTCTCCTGACCCTCCTTTTCCTCTTCGGCCACGGACGCGCTGCCCAAAAAACAGTTGGTCGCCCATCGTCGTGAGCGTCGTAGTCGTCATCGTCGTCGTCGTGGTCGTCGTCGTCGTCACGTCGTCCATGTCCACCATCAGCCTTTCCGGGGAACCACCCTGGACACAAGAGTATGTGCACCCTCCCCCCTGTTTTCCTCAACCTCGTGAGCCTCCCCATGCTCGCCCTCCTCCTCCTCCTCCTCCTCCTCTGCCTCCTACTCCCACTCCTCCTCGGCCTCGGCTCCTCCTCTTCATCCCCTTCGTCTTTTCCCTCATTGCCATTACCCTCACGTTCATACTCCTCCAAATTCTCCTGCCGCTGGTTTTACACCACCACCACCACCACCCCGCCCTCAGCGACATCATCATCGACATCATCACCAACATCATCCGCGTCGTCGTCATCATCGTCAACATCCTCGTCATTGCTTTCCTCCTCCGTCTCCTGCTGCTCATGCTCGCCACGCTCTACCCACCGCTGCCCCTCATCCTTGTCAGCCGTCCTTCCCCTGCAAATGCGTCCCTGCTCGCCTCGCTCTCATCCCTGCTCTTCCCCCTCCTCGTCTTCCCCTCCTCGTCCCTCTCCCCCCCCTCCTCGTCCTCATAACCCCTCGCACCTCCTCCTCCTCCTCCTCCTCCTCCTCCTCCTCCTCCTCCTCTTCCTCCTCCTCCTCCTCCTCCTCCTCCTCCTCCTCCTTCTCGCCCCTCCTGCTCCCTAGCATCCTCCGCCACCTGCTCCTCAACATCCTCGTCGTCCTCGTCGTCGCAGGGTCGGCGGCACCGGCCGTAAGGCCTTCGAAATGAAGCGGTCGGGGCGGAGGGGCACTGGGCGCAGAGGGCACTGGGCTGCTGTGGAACACCTGGGCTGCTGGCAGCATGAGCGCCCTGAGGGGGTGAGGAGAGCGGGGGGGGGGCGGTGCGAAAATAGACTGGTCGGGGCGGAGCGGGCTGCCGGGGAACAACTGGGCCGGAGGGGAATGGGGGCGCGGTGCCGAAGTAATGAGGCCAGGGCGGAGGGGGCTGGGGGGCAGCGGGGAGAGGGGGCGGGGGCGTCGTCTTGCAGGGGGGTGGAGGGGGGGGGGGCCTCCTCCTCCTCCTCATCCTCCTCCTCTTCCGCCTCCTCTAGCTCCTCCAAGCTCCTCGGCGAGCCCATCATCCTCACCGTCGACAACATTTCCTCGACGTGCGATGCGGGCAAGGATGGGTCCACAATCGATTAAGCAATCTGCAGTTCGGCTGCGCGGTGCTACATCGGCAGCATTAAGGGGGCTACCAACGTGTCGTGGAAGCCCCACTTGGGGCTGGTGCTGCAGTTGAGGTCGTCCGGGCAGCAGCTCATCACGAGGCAACTCGAAGGACCACCAGCAGCCCTCGAAAGTGGCGACAGTTTCGCAGATCGCAGCCCCCCAGAGACGGCGAGGTCCCGCTCAGATCCGCGCGGTGCCTCACTCCGCGGGACCCACCAGCAGCCCTCGAAAGTGGCGACAGTTTCGCAGATCGCAGCCCCCCAGGGACGGCGAGGTCCCGCGCAGATCCGCGCGGTGCCTCACTCCGCGGGACCCACCAGCAGCCCTCGAAAGTGGCGACCGCTCCGCAGATCGCAGCCCCCATCGTCGGCGAAAAGAGGGCAGGAGGAGGCGGGAGGCGGGAGGAGAAGGAACGCGACCACAGTGCTCTATTCAAAACGAATACCCAACCAAGGAGGGTTGGGAAAAAAGAACACTATTGATAATGATCATCAGCATCATCATCATCATCATCATCATCATCATCATCATCATCATCATCATCATCATCAGCAGCAGCAGCAGCAGCATCAGCATCAGCATCAGCATCAGCATCATCATCATCATCAGCAGCAGCAGCATCATCATCATCATCGTCATCATCAGCAGCATCATCATCATCATCATCATCATCATCATCATCATCATCGTCGCCGTCGTCATCATCACCAGCATCAGCATCATCATCATCATCATCAGCAGCCTCATCATCATCATCAGCAGAATCATCATCAGCATCAGCAGCATCATCATCATCATCATCATCATCATCAACATCATCATCATCATCATCATCATCATCATCATCATCATCATCATCATCATGTTCATCATCATCATCATCAGCATCAGCATCATCAGCAGCATCAACATCATCATCCTCTTTATCATCATCATCATCGTCATCATCATCGTCATCATCCCCAGCATGAGCATCATCATGGTTGTCATCATCACCACCATCATCTTCGTCATCACCACCACCACCATCATCATCACCATCATCATCATCAGCAGTAGCATCACCATCAGCAGCAGCAGCATCAGCAACATCACAATCATCAGCAGCATCATCCTCATCATCATCACCACCACCATCATCATCATCAGCAGCAGCATCACCATCAGCAGCAGCAGCACCAGCAACATCACAATCATCAGCAGCATCAGCATCAGCATCATCATCATCATCGTCGTCGTCGTCGTCGTCGCCGCCACATCATCATCAGCATACTCAGCAGCATCATCATCATCATGAGCAGCAGCATCAGCATCAGCATCAGCATCAGCATCGTCATCGGCATCATCAGCACCATCGTCAGCATCATCATCAGCATCATAATCATCGCCAGCCTTATCATCATCATGAGCATCATCATCAGCATCGTCATCCCCAGCATCATCATCAGCATCATCATCATTAGCATCGTCATCCTCCTCCTCTCCATCATCATCAGCATCATCCTCCTCATCCTCCTCCTCATCCTCCCCCTGGTGATGGCCGTCGCAACCAGCGGCGGCGCGAAAAGAACAAAAGCACAGCGGCGGCGCCCCCCCCCAGGGACCCCCCTCCCGAAGAAGCTGCTGGCGACCAGGCCAGCGCCGTCTATTTCGGAGGACGGGGTCGCCAGGTGC